TCTCTCTCTCTCTCTCTCTCTCTCTCTCTCTCTCTCTCTCTCTCTCTCTCTCTCACGCACGCGCTCGTGCTGCTGCAGCCAAACTCTCCGAATTCCGGCCCATCACCATCCCAGTCGCAGGCATCCTGCCCTCCGACGGGGCAGCACACGAACAGGCACCATGGCCAAAGACGACAGCCAAACGATTTCGGTCCCGTACCTCCTCGTCCTCCTCGTCCTCGCAGCCGCCATCCTCCGCCTCCTCTTCTTCTCGAACTCGTCAGGCGACACCCCGCCGGCGGGTCGGCACAACCCGCTCAACGTCCTGCGGGCGCGCGAGGCGGCCGTCGAGCGCATACAGCAAATGTTCCCCCAGGTCGAGCGACGGACCATCCTGTGGGACCTGCAGCGCAACGGAGGCAACGTGCAGACGACGAGCGAGAGGATCCTGGCCGGACGCATCGAGACGGTGAGCTCCTCCGTCTTCCTCTTCTTTCTTTCTTGTCTTCTTTGCCGGCTTCCTTCTCTTTCCTGCTCGAAGAGCTACGGCGTAGACGCTGGATACGCATCAGACATCAGGGTGAGGGGTGAAGCCGAGAATGTTCCGCGCTAACGTCTGTGCCCTAGCCTCCCATCACCTTCCAGCCCCCCCCTCCCGCCGGCGCGCCGGCCACGGGCTCCGGCAGCACGAACGCCGCAGCGGCGGCGCTGAAGCAGGCGGGCAAGCCGACGCAGCCGGACCTCATCACGCGCTACAAGCTGGAGGGCAAGATCGGGGCGGCCGAGGAGGAGCAGAAGAGGCAGCAGGACCGGACGGGGAAGGCGTGGAGCTCGGATCGCGACGAGCGGCAGGCGGCGTTGCAGAGGCGGCGCGACGACATGATCTTGCAGGCCCGGAAGAAGATGGAGGCCAAGATTGCGGCGGAGAAGGCTGGTGCGGCGCCGGCTTGAGCTGTTGCTCGTCTGCTGCAGTGGAGGGGCAGCTTGGACAGGGTTCAGGTAGTGCTGAACAACAGGGAGGGGAGGAGGACGGAGTACGGAGACGGAAGAGGAGACTGCTTCGGGGACTCCGTGTACATGTCGGCCCACGTTGTACACTGAAAGAACGACGTATATTCATGGGTTTCGTGATGTATCGCCTCTGCTGCTGTGAGCTCGGTGCATGGATGTACCAGGCAAAGCGTAGAGCCCCCATTTCTGGTGTGCCGTGAGAAGATGACAGGAGATAAACATAGCCAACGGCTGCAAGATGTTCTGGACAAGATAGAGTAGCACGGCAAGAATAGCCGCGTTTCTGATCGTGCCCCCATCAGAAACTAAAGCCAGCAAGCCCAAATCGACATGCTATCTCGTCGTGACCTTTTCACAGCACGCCTCGGACCCGACGTTTCGGCTCCCTCAGCCAGCCGCTGGCGACGACAGTGCCACTGCACTAGACCACCCCAATGCATAGACGACATGCCACTGATAAGATGGGTTGATCCAGCAGAGATGTACCGATAAGCACGTTTCGTGCTAAGGCCCCCGCCACCCCAACACTTTTTGCAACGCTTCCCACTTTCACATGCTTTCATGCCCACCGTTTTGTGTTGCTTGGAGGTAACGCCTCTTGCTATCCTGGACGCAGGGCTGGATGCATGGCAAAGGTGGCAGGGTCGGTGGGTTTCGTAAAGTCTACGTGAAATCCCGGTTCTGGGCATTTGGCTTTTTTTGTACAATTGTCTCACTCCCCTCGTGGACTCGTGCATCTCGAACCCCTCCTCCTCTTTGCGTGACGCTTTTTTGTCTACGGAGATTGCGACGTGACCATTGAACAACGGCCGCCGCGGAACGTCACCCCGTTCTCTTGTGGCGCGGTACTCGTGGCTCTCTGACATATCCCCCCCATCCACTTGACTTTGCTGTCACCGGCGGGCGCCCGATTCCTGTTCATCATTCGCGTCAAGACCATGGCGTCACTCCGTCATTGGACCCCCGTCTTCGAGGATGTCAAGATGGAGCACACAACCGTCTCATCGACAGTCTTGTCCCTGCTCCCGACGTCATTGCAATCACGCTTGCCGCCCCTGCGCTCAGTCCAAAAAAGCGTCAGCATGCAGACCTGCCAGACCAGCGTGACGAACAGGACGTCCTCCCAAGAGCCGGTCACACCAACGCCCACCCCCCGCGGCTCGCCCAAGAAGCAGAGCCGCATCGCGGACAGCCCCTCTCGAATGTCCTGCGCCTCTACATTGCTGGACGATGAAGCCCTCGAATCGAGCCCCCCAAGCCCTCCGTCGGGCGTTCACTGGCGGTATGCCTTGCAGGGTATGTTCCTCATCGTGGCCCGCCCTTCCTTCCACCCCCCTCTTACCCGGACTCATAACGGCACAGGCCTCTCCCTTCTCTCGGTGGCGCAAGATGAAGCCCGCCAGCCGCTCCCCAGCGCCGAGTTTGAGCGCAAAGCATTCCTCGACGGCGCAGAGTACATCCTGAAAGGCCTGCCCGCGGACCTCAGCCCGCTGGAGCTCGACCGCCTGCGCACGTCGGCGCCCCGCGCCCTCGTCCCGGGCCCGCAAGGATGCAACTCGCCCCTGTCGAGCACACGGTGTCACTCGCCGTGCGGCCATGCGGCGGCGTCGTCGTCGTCATCGCCGGCACGGTCCCGGAAGTCACTGCTGCACCGGTGGGTGCAGGCGGCGGTGGTGCAGATGTTCGTCCTCGCGCATCTGGCGCTGCCGTACGTGGTGCTGCTCGCGCGGCTGGCGGCGCGGGCAGAGCGGGAGTACAACATATCACACAACGTGGCGAGCGCCGGGTGGGGGCTCGTCCACTCCATTGGGGCGCAGGGGGTCAAGGCGACGGGCACGCTTTGCGGTATCGGGGACGGCAGGGTCGGGCAGGCCATTGCGGAGGCGGTGGCTTGGACGGTCGAGGGTGTGTCGGGGGGCCTGAGTGAGGGTGTCGGGCAGGGCATGGTGATCATGAGTGCCTCGCGGCCGTAGATAGATAGGGTGGTGCACTTTTGGGGGTTGAGGGGCGTTCGGGCTACCGAGACGGGAATGCATGCGGTTCTGTAGTTCGTCTCTGGCGTTCATGATGGAGAGATAGGCTATGCTAGGCTACCTACCAAGCCTACCTACCAGGTAGGTATCTTGGCGTGGCTCGTTATGAGAAATGATAAGATTTTCGGACAAAACGATAAGAGACATGGCTAGCTCCGGCTTTCATTTGCGGCGTGGAAGACATGGGACCTGGTGGTGGCGTTGGAGAAATCATCATCAGCGGAGGACGGATGCCTGTCGTGTGTGGTGTGTACCATGTACCTACCTAGGTACCTTAGTGAATTAGTGAATGGTGGTGGTGTGTGGTGGTGGATGGCTGCTTCTGTGGGGGGGTTTGACAGCTTCCGTGAGGGTGACTGGCGCCTGCTGGCACTGAGTCCGCGTGGGGTGGCAGGTGCAACCCTTTTCCCGTTCCCGGGGTAGAAGGAGCTTATCATGCAGCTGCACTGTTCACCGAATCCAGGACACCACAAAAGTTCACAGTCGCAGGACCAACAAGGCAATCGTAGCCTACGCACACATACGCCACCTACCTATGCTAACCTACCACCTACTTTAGATCTACTAAGGTACCTATACCGAGGGCCAGATCGCTGCCCGAGCAGCAGCGAAGAACTAGCCCACTAGGCCAGGCAGATCAGGGTCAGACCGTCCCGGATGATGCAGATGGAACGACACGAACTCCCCAGGGGACAAATACAGTCACGTCGTGTTACTCGATGGAAATGCTAGCCGACGCGCCTAATCCGCCCCAGACTCGTCAAAGGCGCGGAGAAAATACTGCTCTGGTGCATGCCCATGCGCTAAACAGCGCCCATCCGCGCCCTTATCAGCGAGCCTGTGCCTTGTTCGCCTCGTCCACGTATGAGAGGGCGTGGATTGGGCAGCTTGGGGCGACATCGGGACCCCCCCCCCTCCCCCAAGCAAAGCGAAGCAGGGTCCATCCCCCTGCGAAAGAGTGCCTGGCGCTGCCGAGGATCTGGGCTACCCCCCTCCACCCAACTGCCCCAACCCCATCTTCCTTCCAGCTTAGCCTACCTTACCTGAGGTACGAACAAGACGCCGCCCATCTCGTC